CAGGCCTGCGGCTCTGTTCAACGCCTGCCAAGTTGCCAAGAGACGAGGTCTCCATGGATACCGAAAACTCCGCCTTTCCGTCTTTCGGGAAGCCAAGTTTCCACCCACGTGACCACCTGAAGCCCAGCCCAGTCGGAAGAAGCCCTTCTCCCTACGGAGCATCTTGCGTCCAGCAGGTTGTTAAGTGCCGCTGAGTCAGTTCTGACTCATATCGACACAGTATAGGGTTTCCGAGGAGTAGCTTGTGAGTTTGAACCGCCGACCTTGTAGTTAACAGTCCAGTGTTTAGCCTACAGCACCATACCAGGTGATACGCTAGATCCTCCCCTTTCCTCTCCAGATTATGGGACAGGGTCTTCAGTTTCACATCGACAGTGTGGCTTTCCCTAATAGAGATAGACTACAGTGTGGCGCTGTGGGGTTGATGCGCTGGACTGCAAAGTCGGTTTGAACCACAAGGTCGACGGTTCAAGCTCACCGGCGGCTCCTTGGAAACACTATTCAGGATCGCTATGGGTCGGAACTGACTCAACACTTTAATACAGTGTTTCTAGAGCCCTTGTGTGGCGCTGCTGGTTAATGCGCTGGATTGCAAAATTGGTTTGAATCACAAGGTCAGCTGTTCAAGCACACCAGCTGCTCCTCAGAAACTATACAGGGTCACTATCAGTAGGAACTGACTCGACTGCACTCAATGAGTGTCCGCATGCAGCCCAATTCCATGGATTCTTTAGTCCTGTCTGAGTTCATCCACATAATGGACACTCATTGATTCCTCTGCATGTGTAGTGGGGAAGAAAAACAATAAAAAGCTCCAACGCTAGCTTTATTATTTTATAATTTTGGCTTCAAATTTATATGGGAAAAATGTGGACTAGAACTGAGATTCTTTGTGGCTCTAAAAGTCCAAGACAACTAATTTGTTGTTGTTGTGATGTGCCGTGGAGTCAGTTCTGACTCATAGCGATCCTTTACAGGGTTTCCGAGGTTGTAAATCTTTACAAGCAGAAAGCTTCATCTTTCTCCCGTGGAACAGCTGGTAGTTTCAAACTGCTTATCGTGAGTTTCGCAGCCCGATTCCTAACTTCTACGCTAGCAGAGGTCCTTAATGTTGTTGTTGTTAAGTGCCGTCGAGTCGGTTCCGACCCATAGCGACCCTGTACAGGGTTTCCGAGGGTGTAAATCTTTACGGGAGTAGAAAGCCTCATCTTTCTCCCGTGGAGCAGCTGGTAGTTTCGAACCGCTGACCTTAAGGTTCACAGCCCAATTCGTAACCACTACGCTACCAGAGCTCCTCTCAAATTCAGATCTTACAGAATGGGGCCCATCCATCCCATTTCCTGCAGTCTTCACTACCTGTCTTTATCTACTCCTTTTATAGGATGGTAACAATTAAATGGCATGTGGAAACCGAGGCAATAGAGCAAGGTATAGGGTTATACTTTGGGAAAGGAGGCTGTGGAAGAGGGTGCAAAAAGGGTGACATTTACAAATTTTCCCGTCAGCTAACACCTCCTCTATTTACCTCCCAGAGCCCCACAACTGTTTTTTAGGCACCATGGTAGCAAGATGAAAGACCAGACCCGGAACAGCTAAAGTTTTTCTCTCCCCAGGCTAGACTACCTCTTCACATCCACCTCAGGAGTCCCCAGCCAAGTCCAGAGAAGCACGTTCCTCAGCAAATTTATTATCAGGGAAAGAACTGGGCTTTATTGCTAATATAATTCACTGATCTTTTCATTTCTGGATTCTTTTGTAGAACTTTTGAAAGTCAGAATGGCCTGGGCCCCAATGCCACACCCATGGAGAAATATCTAAATAACCCAGGTAATTATTTTGTTTTGACTGTCTAGGCATTATTTATAAAGGCTTTTAAAATAAGTATCTTGAGGAAGCTGACTTGGCTTCTCTCAAAACAATTTCTAACCCTCTGGTTTCACAATGCCCCTACTCCCTTTAGTCACACCCCTCTGCCTGTGCCTTCCCTGAATGGGAGGTATGGCCCAGTTCCATTTCTGTGAAATAGTAGTACCAGATAGGAAGACAGCCGAAATTCTGCCTAGTGCAATTTGATTCCAGTGGTCACAGCACAGAAAAGAACCTAAGCTTTCTATTTTCATTAAATATTTACTCAGCACCTAACAACAGCAGGTTCCATGTTAAGAACCAGAATTGAAAACCAGAGGAGGGCCCTGCAACTGCTGCTACCATTGGCAGGGCAGATCCTGTTTAACGATCTGAGCAAAACCACATAGGATGCACAGTAACAGTGTAAAGAACACAGCCTCTGGCACTAGATGGACTGGGTTACTCAATTTCCCTTAGCTTCATCCATGAAATGGGGATGTTGTTGTTGTTGTTATGTGCCGTGGAGTCGGTTCCAACTCATAGTGACCCTGTACAAGGTTTCCGAGGCTGTAAATCTTTACGGGAGCAGGAAGCCTCATCTTTTTCCTGTGGAACAGCTGGTAGTTTTGAACTGCTGACCCTGAGGTTAGCAGCCAGATTCATAACCACTACGCTACCAGAGCTCCTTATGAAATGGGAATACTACATAAATTGATAATACATATAAACTACTTAAAACATAGCATAAAATGGAAAGTATATCCTAAGTACTTGACAGGCATTTGGCACCTTACATACATGAAGCATTTTACACACATTATCCATCAAGCTAATAACAGAAATCCTCACAATTGGACACGTAGCATCATGATTATCAGAGAAAAGATGGACGCCATCAAGAATTTCATTTTATATGCCCTTTGGATATTTAAATATATATTTTCTGTTTTGTGTGCACACCTCAAATATTTTGGCTTTGTTCATTTGTGGAAAATGTGATGTAAAAGGGAAGCCACACAGTAGAAACAGTAATTATTACAGGGAGGGGAGTGTTAATCAATGAAATGAGACAAAACACGTGATTGGTGAAGGGGGGGAGGGGAGGAAAAAATTTTTTTTAAATAACTTTTTACTTGGATCCACAATCAACATTGATAGAAGTGGTAGTCAAAAAAATCAAATGATATATTGCATTGGGCAAATCTGCTGCAAAATACCTCTGTTAAAGTGTTTAAAATGCAAAGATGTCACTTTCAGGACAAAGATGCACCTGACCCAAGCCATGGTATTTGAAATTGCATTCAAAAGCTAGACAATGAATGAGGGAGAATGAAGAATTGATGAATTTGAATTATGGTGTTGGTGAAGAATTTTCAATATTCCAGAACAAACAAATCTGTCTTGGGAGAATTACAACCTTATGCTCCTTAGAAATGAAGATGGCAGGAATTCATTTTATGTACTTTGGACAGGTTATCAATGGAGATGGACATCATTCTTGGTAGAGGGTCAGTGAAAAAGAGGAAGACACTCAACAAGATAAACTGACAGGGTGACTACAAAAATGGACTCAAAAACAGCAGCGATTGTGAAGACAATGCAGGACTGAGCAGTATTTCCTTCTGTTGTGCATAGTCACTCTGGACTCAGTGCACCTAGCAACAATAAACTTATGTGTATTATTGTCCATATTTATATCTACACACACGTATCCACAGCACCAGTAGGTTGAGAATTCGGTTTTCAGCTCGTATCCAGGAAACATTTGGTGTTCTTCCCTTGGGACAAAGCGCTTCCACATTTCGTGATCAGAACAGCATCAAGCCAGAAGGATAAAAACAAGGATCAGGATAGTCAAGGAGTCGCTGCCATAGGCTGAGGCAGGGCTTACTTAAGGACAATACTGCCAATAGCCACAAGACAATGGCAGCAAGAGACAGGCTGGGCAGAATTCCAGAAGGGACATTTAGCTTCAGGAAGCTGGTCCCACAGATTTTAGAAATGTCCTCCCATTTTACTTTTGTCAGACCTCTCATCTCAGTCTCTCAGAGCCCCGTTCCTGCATTTAATTCTCAGATCTGATGGGCAGAATGGGCCAGGTTCACCAGAATCCTTTAGACCTGAGATTTGGAGGCAGCTGCCAGGCTCTGCACTTGGACCGCAGGTTCCCACGTTTGGCACATGGTATGTGTTTAATCAACAGTTGCCTTAAGGAAGCAGGACATGCTGTAGCTTCTCCTATGCTGACTGAACACCAGCAACACCCAAAGCACTCAAGGCTACAGCTGACCATGTTGATAAGCCAGGTTCTAGTTCCGCTCTCCTGCAGACACCTCCTCTCCTCTGAGTATTCTTTCAGCTCATTCACTGAAAGTTTAAACAAGCACAGGACCAGACTGCTCCTCTACATCACACTGGTCCCATTGAGTGGTCTGGAGAGTTAAGTTCCTTACCAGAAGTTGGCTTTGATCAGAGAGAATCTAAGGGTCACAAAAACCAGTATGTGGCAAGGACAGAAAGTTGGGCTAGGAGTGAGCTGATGAGGACTCTCGTCCCAGATCTGCTATCATTCTTGTTCTTTTAGGGCCTTAGCCAAGTCACTTAACTTTCCAGATTGGCCTGGAGTCCATGAAGTACAAAAAGGCATTAGTAATAAAATCCTGGAAGCCCTGAAACAGAAGAGGCCAAGTACTCTAGCCACAAGAAAGAAAATCTCTTTGAGCAAAGAGATTTTCAGGAAAATTTAGTATTTCATTCATTCATTTTATATTTAAGTTCATGATTCACACACACATATTCTAGGTAAAAAGCCTGAACGTCCACATAAAAAGCAAAAACTAGCCTTCTTCACAGGAGTGTCCACGGGTCCATGCTTGCTTTGAAATACCAAACAGAAACACCTGACCCAGCACCCTCTGAGAAAATCAACCCTGGGATTCAGAGATGTTGTTCACTGGTGATTATTACAGCCCCAGCCACACCATCAGCCCACCAGGAATTCTCAGGAGGGGAAGCAGGCAGCCAGAGAACCAAATCTTCCTCCTTCACCAGGAAGCAGCTTCAGTTCCAAGCATGAGTCGGGTGACTCAGTGCCACAGGGGGAAAGATAATTCAGCCATTGTGTCTTCATGATTAAAAAGCAACGTCATTCACTAGTGGAAGCCTTTAAGCGTCACTGGTGCCTGGAACCAGATGTAATCCTCCCAGGTCGTGGTTGGGATGGGCAACCTGCCGCAGGACAGAGTCACAGTGAGTTTGTGGCCCCGGCTGGGCACTCGGTAGTTGAGCTTGGGTCGAAACCAATCTTCTCCACAGTCTCGATGCCCCTGTGCCATGATAATGGTACCCATGAGTGGAGGAGCCTGAAGTTCACTGAAGGCATCAGCCATGAAAATGGCTCGGAAAAGATGGCGCACACAAGCGGCTGTGTTCAGGCTCTGCTCCATGTTACCAGGGGCCAATCGGGACAAGTCGAGCTCATAGAACTCCTTGGGGCTTAGAGAACTGCCTCCAAGGAGAATCAGCACTCGTGGAACTAATGTCCGAGCAAAAAAGCCCTCCAGGTGGCTGAAGACACTCTCCAGTTCTGCCAGGGTTTGTTGGCATTTCTTGCTGCTTGTCTCAGCAGCAGTCCAAGGTTTCTTCCTCACCATGTCCTCTGCCTGTAAGGACAAAGAATGGTGGGAGAGAAACACAAGGTAAGGGAAAGTTAATGTCCCAGCTACTACCCTTTGAATAATCCTCATGGGACTGCATTTCCAGCTCAATGAACCACCACAACCAAAACACTGAACTCTATCAAAGGGCATTATATCAAAACGAAAAATAAACGAATGGGACAAAACCAGAATTCTCCCACACTCAGAACAGCAAGATAGGGTTCTAAAGCTAGCAGGTACTCAGAAAAAGGCAACACCATAATTCAAGGAGATTTGGGAGCATGGCTGTTCCTAAGTGTTGTCTAGTCAGTTCGGGCTCATAGCGACCCTGTATAAGGTTTCCAAGGAGTGGTTGGTAAGCTTGAACCACCAACCTCATAGCTAGCAGTCATCTGCTTCTTCAGCATTACAGTAGCAAATCTTGGCTGCATAGGAAATAATTGGAATGGAGATTACTTGGTCTAATAATGGTGATTCTGGAGTTAGCCTTCCAGGTAAATATGGCAAATGGAACAAATGTTTATTTGTGCTCCTACAAGAAATACTATACTGAGAAAAAAGACATTAAGCACAGGTGGGGAAACTGCCAAGGGCCATTTGGATATTTATCACATCATTTAATCTATTTAATATTGCTATGAAAAAAGCTCTTAGATTTATTGAATTTTGAGTTCCACCTGTAGTTTCTTTGGCAGGGCCAGACCAAATGATATCGAAATCTTTTTACAACCCATGGGCCAAACATTCCGTACCTCCACTGTATAGGGTTTCCTAGGAGTGGCTGATGAGTATGAACCGCCGTCCCTGCAGTTAGCAGTCCACTAGCTTATCCAATGGTACCACAACATGACTCCATTACTTGTTGTTTTTTAAGTGCTGTCGAGTCAATTTCTACTCATAGCGACCCTGTATAGGGTTTCCGAGGAGCAGCTGGCGAGCTTGAACCTCCTACCTTGCAGTTCAAAGGGCTTTGCAGTCTGGCGCATTAACCCACAGCGCCACACCAGGACTTCTATTTTACCTACCTAGGGAAACCCTATGCAGGGTGGCTGTGCCACACCAGGACTTCCATTTTACCTACCTAGGGAAACCCTATGCAGGGTGGCTGTGCCACACCAGGACTTCCATTTTACCTACCTAGGGAAACCCTATGCAGGGTGGCTGAGTCGGAACAGACTCGAAGGCACTGAACACCCACCACCTGGTAGCGTAGCAGTTAGGAATCGGGCTGCTAACCGGAAGGTCAGCAGTTCGAAACTACCAGCTGTTCCGCGGGAGAAAGATGAGACTTTCGGCTCCCGTAAAGAGTTCCAGCCTCGGAAACCCTGTACAGGGTCGCTATGAGTCGAAATCGACTCCATGTCACATAACAACAACCACCACCATTTAAGGAGAGCTAGTAGCCAGTTAACGTAGTGGTTACGAATCGGGCTGCGAACCTTAAGGTCAACGATTCGAAACTACCAGCTGCTCCGCGGGAGAAAGATGAGGCTTTCTACTCCCGTAAAGATTTACACCCTCGGAAACCCTGTACAGGGTCGCTATGGGTCGGAACCGACTCGACGGCACTTAACAACAACAACAACAGTAGCCAGTTGGGCTGATGAATGCAGGTCAGCAGTTTGAATCTACCAGCTGCTCACAGGAGAAAGCTGGCCTCTCTGCTCCCGTAAAGACTTACATACAGGGTCACTATGAGTCGGAACCCATTAAAAGCCACAACATCTTCCCACCAACTTTCCCCCCAAAGCATGTGCCTACCTGAGGAGACGGTTTTCGGTAGAAGTGCTTAATCTGTTCATAGGGCAGAGGGAGCTGCTGGCGTTGGTACATGACATGCTTAAGAAGTTCACAGGTAAACCGGCAGCAGCCTTCCTGGCTCACAGGCCCGGGAAAAACGACCGGCACCATGCAGTTTCTGGGGCAAAAGTGTTCTGAAGGGTGCAGAGGTCCGTGGGCGGAGGTGGTCTCAAGCAGTTCTAGTTGGGCGGTTGGGGTCTCCTCCACCTTCTCATACCACTCCAAATCTGTATGTGCACAGAGGAAAGAAAGAAAATGCAAAGCTCCAAGGGCAAAGGCAGTCTTCTTCATTCCCTTATGGACCCCCCATCGGCCACTACGAAGGGGCACCTGGCCACACGTACGCTTCCTCTGCAAGCTCCACCGTGAGCCGTGGCGGGGACGAAGAGTCCCGGTCCCTCTCGCCTAAGGCTCCGAGGCAGTGACAGAAGCTCCGCCCAAACAGCGGCGGCCCTCCAGAACCCGGGAAGTGAGTGAAAAGAAAATGCAGTCGTGTGGGGTCGAAAAGGGCGAGATGAAGAGAGAGAGGGGTCGAACAGAGAGGAACCTGGGCTGTGGAGGCGAGGGAGTCACTGGGGTAGAAACAAATCGAGGCAGAATGGCAGGAAGTAGGCGACAAGGGGACAGGCAGGAGAAAGGGCCAAGGAATAGGTGACTGAAGGGAGCACCAGTCAGTAAGAAATGAGTCCCCAAGGGTCCTTGAGCTCCGGACCCCCATGCTCTACCTGTGACTGCGTCCGAGGACAACACTTCCGGCTTCCGCGCCGCCATCACGACTGCCTTCCTCTTCGCCGCGCAGTTTGAATGGGTGCCCCGCGGGTCATCATGGGAAGTCCCGATTGGCTAGGACGGAAGACTGCTGTAAGAGAGGCTGGACCCGGGTGGAATTGGGCCCAGCTGCTAACTACAAGGTCGGTGGTTCAAACTCACCAGCATGTCTTTGGAAACCCCACAGTCGGTATGAGTCAGATATGACTCAAAGGCATTTGACAGGCACTGCGGGTTAATGTGTTGAACTGCAAGGTTAGTTTAAACCTCAAGGTCAGCGGTTCAAGTTCACCAACAGCTCCTCAAAAACCCTCTACAGGTTCACTGAGTCAGAACCGATTCGACGGCACTTAACAACAACCCTCCCACGGGTGTTACCTCCCGTGAGCACCCATGAGCCCCTATAAGCGGCTGTGTCCTGGACATCATATGCACACTACTTGCACTCACTATTCACTGTGCATCTATCTTGTATAAGGCCATCCTAGCTTCGGATGCACATTTCCTTTAGATACAATGGAGTGATTATACTGTGGAAGCAAAGAACAGGGGTGCCTGACCCAGATGGGGTGGGGATATGACTGTCTCAGAGAAAATGGTGCCAAAGAAACTAGGATTCTTGTAGATGGGTAAATTAACAAGAGAAGGGTCTAGTGTTCTAGAAGACTTTGAAATAGAACTTCAAGAAATGAAAAGAGCACATATTATAGTTAAAGCTGAGTGGACAAACCGGAGCCAGGTCATGGCAGGGCCTTATAAACCATGCTGAAGAGTTGATCCTATGAGTAAAGGAGAGGTTTAAAGATTTTAAATAGGATGTGATGCAATTACATTTTATAAATTTTACAAAAATCTCTTCACTGGCTACATTGGATTACAGGGAGGATACTAGCAGAGGCCGAGATACCAGCAGGAGGGAGTGACTTTGATTACTCAAGTACATAGTGAGGTATGACTAGGGAAGTCACAGTGAGGTGAAAAGAATTGGTGAGCTCTAGAGCTATTTACTAGGTCCAAAGAACATGACTTAGTGGTTGATCTGAGGAAAAGAAAGGAAAGACAGACACTACCAAGGAGACAAGCAGGTATCCAACTTCAGCAACTGTGTGGCCAATGGTGCTAGGCAATAAAAGAGAAACGCTAGACATAGGCTAGGGTTTTTTGGAGGTGGGTAAGGTGAAAAGATTAATTCACTTCTACAACAATGATTGAATTTAATGTCTCCAAAAGACCGTGAATAGGGATATGTATTTGAAAACTATCAACATTAGCATAGGTAAGTTCACCCAGGGAGTATATAGAATGAGGATGTATACAGCCAGGGAAGACATGCAGACTTAGTGAAAGAGCAGAGAAAGAGAAGAACTCATAGAGGAGACTGAGAAGTAACCAGGAAATATATATAAACAAAAAAAAAAGGCACATGTTAAGTCACAGATGCCAAGAAAACAGTGTGTTTCAGGAAGTAGAGACCAGAGGTCAAAGCATGCCATAAAAGTAGTAATTAAAATAGTGTGGTATTGACTCAAGAATAGACAAACAAATCAATAAAACAAGAGAGTTCAGAAACAAACCTATGTATATGTGAAATTGAGATACATGACAAAGGTTGCTATTTTTAAGCAAATATAAAGTTAATTCCTACCACACTCTACATAAAGGTAAATTCCAGATAGATTAAAGATCTAAGTAAAAAAACCACCCTTCTAAAAGAGGGGAATAATGTTAAGATGCTTGGCTGTCTTTTGAATCTTGGTTTCTCTTGCCTACCATTGTAAAATAGACACTAGAGGGAGGGAGAAAGGAATAACCAGAAACATCACTACAGAAAGCTTGTAAGTCCGCCTTCAGACTATAACTGATTGGAATACCTTAAAGGGGGCTAGAAGTTGCCCAGTGAAAGAGGTTTCCTGTGGAGCCTTTACATTGTACAAGACCATAGGTGGAATCCAGAACCTCATCCAGAATTGCCAGAGGTAGGAAATTTCCACTGGAAAGGATGAGTAGACCAGCCTGGAGAGGACAGAAAAACAGAAGAACAGAAAGACCAGCAGGGAATCTCCGAAACAATAACGACAGTCTGATTGATTACTACAAGAACAAGTAAGCTGTTCACCCAGGAGCCATCAAGGCAAGTGGTCAGGACCCCTCATATCTAACTCCCTTCCAAGACTGAGACTCAAGGGGAATACATGAGCAGGCAGGTGGTCTGGCTGGTGACCTCGTTGGTCACCGATAAGGGCAAGAGGGGGGAAAACAGCAATGAAGTTGCAAGCTAAGTCCGACCACATTCAACAGACCGCTGTGAACTGAACCCTGGTGGAGACCTGAGTGGCCAGCAGTATGGCAAGACCTGGGGACTCCTGGGCCTAGAGGCAGTGACATGGCCCCAGAGGACTAGAGCAGAGAGTGAAGCATCCAGCTGATATGAAGTGAGGGAAGATGCACAAGAACACCCATACTTGCAGATAGTACCCGTTTGACCTGGCTTCGATGGCTGGATGATCAGAACTTGACTAGAAGAAGAAAACGAGGGGGGAAAAAAAAGAGTAGCCTGCTACAATTTGATGAACTTTACCTATACTTATGGATGTAATAGCTCAAAAAAGGGAACAAATTTTTACAGCGAGGATCACTCCCACCCCCCTCGGTACACAGGGCTGACAGAGATGGGCAACTTAGACATTGGCTACAAAATGCGGGGGACTATAAAGGCAAAGAAGTGACTGGCTTACAAGCTTTCAAGAGGGAGCCTAGTTCCAGATGGGGCGGGGGAAGGTAAAATCTCCACTGAATGATTTCCAATCTGTTGGGACCAGGCT